TGAATCAATCAACAATAACCAAGCATGGAAGATAGTTGACATAGTGACTCTTGAAGTCTCTCTAATTATTGCAAATTGGATTTATAAGACCAAAATTGGAGCATCATGAGAAGTTTTGAATCCTAAAGCCAAGATAGTTGCTAGAAGTAGAATAATTGAAGAGTTTAGATTTTTTTGATACCTTTGCTCCGGTGATAATATGTACCACAATATCAACAATACTTTTCTATGTTGCAAACAAAAATTGAAAGATTCTTTAGCTTGATGTTAAAAAAATCTTTTTAAATGGCAAGCTGGATGAAGATGTGTACATGCATGTTCAAAATGGCTTCAAGGTATCCAAAGAAAAAAAAGTTTATAAACTTCTCAAAGTTGTTTATGATATTCAACAAGCACCAAAGGTCTAGTATGAGAGAATCAATAACTGTTTAACATAGCATGGAGTCAAAAAGAGCATAGCTGATAGTAATATGAACTACTTAGTCCTTGATAGCAAGTATGGAATTGTGCTACTCTATGTTGATGATTTGTTGATTGTTGGAGACAATCATGACAAACTCAACATGATCAAAAGTATTTTCACTAGTGAATTTGATATGACAATTCTGGATGTTGCAAAACTGCAATTAGGTGAAGGATTGGATCAAACATAGAGTAGAATCTATTTGCATCAACAAAGTTTTATACAAAAATTTCTAGCAAAAATTTAGATAATTTAGAAACTTGTAACACAATTCATCTTCAAATGACTTCTAGATTGCATTTACAACATCATATTACAATACAAGTAGTTGATGCTACATTATATAGGTCATTTCTTGGATCATTTCTTTTATCGCAACGATTGTGTCGATCGTATATGAGCTTTGCAGTAAATATCATGTGACTATATATACAACATCCTAGAAATCCATTGGACTGCTACAAAGTCAATTTTGTGGTACTTGAAGGAAACAATGAATTGGAGTCTTCACTTCAAGCAACATGGAGGTTTGAGGTTTGATGTATCATATCTTTGCTGACTCTAATTATGGGTAATCATTGATACTATGAAATCGACAATCAAAATAGTTCAGAAGCTTGGAGTAGCAAATTGCAGTATGCAATTTGAATGTCAACTACTAAGGCTGAATATCATATATTTTTGAAACTACAAAAGACATTGTCTTTTTATGCCGAATTTCAGTAGAGTTAGGATTATGCAAAAAGTAGCAACCTTACTTTTAAGCGATAATCAGTCATATATCAAACTAGTAGCAAATTATGTCTGCATGCAAGAATAAAGCATATAGATATTCAACATCACTTTATAAAGGAAAGAGCTAAGGCAATAGACTTACAAGTCAATCATACATCAACAGACAAACAAAAAGCAGAACGTAGAAATAGTAGAAATCCCTGCACCTTCAGATCTTAAAGTAGCGAGTAAGGGTGTTAGAACAAACACTTCCTAAAATGACGAGGAAATCACACCGATGTGTAGCAGTAGATAGGAAATAAATTAGATAGTAATAAATAAATATTAGTATGATTAATCAAAAACTGTATATAAGGAAAACTTTGACAATAAACGGGAGCTCGTTCATAGTGAATAATGTTTTCCATGATATAATCTGCTCTCCGTTATTTTTTGGACTTGCCATCTCATGTCATAAATGATTCTTCCAAGTCTTAGACATTTATCAAAGGAATATGCGGATTGATCAGCAAACTATTTGTGCTCTTTTGCTCATCGTTTGCGGCGATGAAGTGCAGAAAATATCAATTCATCACTCTTACGACTTTTGCTACAATTGACTGTATCAAAATGTGAATTGTCTCGTGTTTGAGAGTTTTGGTAGTTTTGCAAACGCCGATGAGGAGTTTCACTTTGGTTGATATGTATGTTTCTCAAAATGCTACAAATTTCCTATTGAATTAAGATTGTATAGGTTTGAAATTTGCACATTGCGATCGTGAAATGACAAGCATTTGAGTTATCTAGAGCATACGTTATGGCTACAAGCTCTACGACAAAATTGGACAATAACATGGCTACAAGCTGTGAGACTGAGGTTTACAACAACATGTGGAGGCTAGACTGTTCATCATAGATTCAGCATAGAATTTGGAGATTGTTTGTGTACACTCTGTGTTACTTCATGAACACATTGTTCACTAAATTGAAATAGTTGACAAAGTAAGTTCATTCCCAAGTTCATTCCCAATTTCCTGGAATCATCCAAGAATAGCAAAGAATTTGAATGAACAAATGATTCATTTCATTATATCAATTTCTTATCACATGTTTGGGAACACTAGAAAATGCATCAATAATAATAATGATTAGTGACATTCGATAGCACTTTACGTTTTGATTCTTTGGAGTCAGTTTAAATAAATCGTGCACAATAAATCTTGTGCAATTTAACCGGATCTACAAAAATTGTTGCGAAAAGCTAATGGATAAGTGAAAAAGAAAAAAAATTCATTCAAACACCACAATTGACAAATTCTAGTATTCAACGTATTGAGATGGTGGCCATTACATCTGTGGATGCAAAATACAAATTAGTCAGATATAACGGTTTTGATCACTATCTACTCTAGGATATACAAGTGAAAGTCAATCAAAAGGCCTCAGATCTTGACAAGATGTTGAGATCAAAATCATCTACCTACAACAACTAGAGAGATGTCAAGAAACATGTTGTGAATACTGTCATACTTCATTTATAATCTTTGGTTTCGAAACAAAAAAGTAGTCATAAAACAAGTTGTGAATATTGTCATACTTCATTTAAAATCTTTGGTATTGAAGCAATAGAGACGTCTAGAAACAAACTGTATTGTCATACTTCATTTACAATCTTTAGTTCCGAAGTAAGTGGATAAGTATGACGAATGTACTGTACTATTTGAGTCTCTTGAGCTATGGTTTTATTGCAAAGATATGTCAAACATGTTGTATGTAATCTTCAAGCTCATTAGCTTTAAGAAAATTTTGATATGAACATCCAAGTCATACAGATGATCTTCATAATTTTAAAATCTGAAAAAATAAATAATTGATGAAAATAAAGCTTTTCATCTTTTGACTTCATTCCATCTTGTCGATCACTATCACTTGTCTCGCTTCCTTGTGATGGTCAAAAAATCATTTATAACAACGTTGTAAATGCTATGTTGATTATTAATTATTTATATAAAAAATGATTTTTTTTCTCATCCATGTTGTTATTCCTATAAGGAACTGAATGTGAATCGATGTTTATTCAAAAAATGACAAGTATGGTAAACATTTTAGATCTTGAGGTAGATCTAAATCTAGGATAAAATTTCTAGAGGGATTAATGGTGGTGTGTTGGAAGTGTGTTAAGAATGGTCACATCAAGACTATAATATAAAGACCAAAGGTGTTATAGCCAATGTGGCTCAAGAGTTTGACTTTGAGTACGATGACTTGATGGACTAGAGACCATGATGCCAAAAATATGTACCATGTAAATCATCAAAGGTTGTTGGTGGTGTATAAATACTAGATAATGTTTTTTTATCACATCTAGTACAGTAGAAAATTCTTCCTGTAGCCCTTTAATATTGAACTATTCAAATCTTATGGAAAATGATAAATCCTATGGGATTTAAAATATTGGATCTCTTAAGATTCAAATGTTTGATTAAGATTTAAATGTTTGATGAATTTTAACATACATTAATTCAGATTAAATGTATATCCGATATGAGAACAAATTTGATTTCTCAAACGATCCTAAATTAAGCTCTAAGAAGAAAATGCTTGATTTGACATTGTGTGATAAGGTTATGTTTAGAGCTGATAAGCACGATAATCTACAGATACTAGAGATCACTATCATTTGTGGTGGAATCAATTTACTAAATCTTTAGTTGATATGTCTGATATCTGACATTTTAGACTATATCATATGAATAATAGTCATCTATCTCTCCAAGGCGATGGAAAATTGCTATTTACATAGTTATAGTTGATTTGAATATCTGCAAATATTGTGTTACGCGCAAGCATCATAGGCAAGGCTTTGCTATTGGAACTCAAAGTTTCAAACTATTACTTGAGTATGTATATGTATATAGTCACGAGTGGATTGATTTTTCAAAAGTGGCACTCTCTAGAAAGTTATACTATGTATCATTTATTGATAATTACTCAAAGTTTTTATAAATTTATTTTTTTACACACAAGTTAGAATTGTTTAACAGTTTCAAAACTTGGAAAGTTCCGGTTGAACCTAAATCTGGACACAATATGAGATTTTTACATACAGATAATGAAGAAGACTATATTTTTGAGTAGTTTTGGATTATTGCAAAGAGTAATATATTACTTGTCTTGTTATCACTATGTATATCTAGCAACGAAATGTTGTCTCTAAAAATTTCAATAGAACAGTGTTAGAGAAAATGCTTAACATGGCAAATTAGATAAAGTAATACCCCTTTTACATCATTTTTCAAACTTTTTGCAATTCAATGTTTGATCAATACCATTGAGTATGAAACAAATGTAATCAACTTCCTATAGCAAAGTTGTGGACATACTCATGTATTTAATGATGTGCATGATTTTGTTTTACCAATGAAAACAATGAAATAGTTATTTAATACATGAATAGTATTAAAGATTATGGTGTGTGGTTTGATTATTTTTGAAATAAATCTTTATTGTGTTGACTCGCGATAAAACTTGTACAAATGAAAATCTACATCTAGTTATATGTTTACATTTGATGGTGATACCATTAGTTGAAAATTTATCTTGCAAAAGTTTGTATCTCAATTTACAACTAAAACTCAGAATGTACCGGCAACAAAATTAACATCGTGAACTATTTGATTGAACATGTAAAAACCTATTCCTTGAGATAAAATTGAAACAAAACATTATCAATCTTCAATGTGATAGCCAAATAGTATAACACGATGAATAATATCAATGAAGTTAATCAAATCAAGCATGAAGTATTAACTTTCAAAGCCCAAAGAGAAGTAGATTCATGGCAATGTGTCCATTACCATCTCTAACAAACAAACATTGAATGCTTGCTGACAGTAAGTGGGAGTGTTAGAAATTAGATACAACGCTACACAATATTATCTTGCAACGCTGCTATATATTTCTATGAAATATATACGAATATTTCTATGACATATTCGTTTTGAACCAGATATTCCGACATTGTACAACAATCTACAACTCCTTCCGGACTACGGCTGTCGTGACATGCACCTCCACACAAGGTAACGAGTGTTGGTGTATGTTCTGGGGCTTGGACAATACAAGTACCCCGATCCGGAGATGGGAATGAGTAGATATTAATTCAGCCTGATTCCGTTAGTGTCTACCCGTACATCTGATTCCGTTCAGAGTCCACGTTTTCTGGCTAATCATGGTGAAAGAGATATTTGCTATAACGTAGTTATAGCTCTATCGTCATAAGCCTTCCTGTTATTCTTTCTTCAATACAATATCAAGGATAGCGGTTGGTTCTGCTTTCCGGAAAAGCTGAAGGAGCTCGCTGACAATAGGACCATTATTGGCCCACCGTACTCTAGCAGACCATGCTGTCGTTTCCTCCAGCCCTGGAATTCTTGACTTGCTCAGCGGTTCTAGGAGCTGAACTAACCCGGATAGAGTAGAGAAATTAGATCCTCCATGTGTACAACTCTAACTATTGATGTAGTTGTCTCCTTATATGATTTACAATTCTTCTCTACATCTATTGAAATGTCCTCTCATGTCTTCGTTTCCGAGGATATTTGGCGTAATTTCTACGTTGATGTAAGCTGTTCATCAAAAAAACAACTCCCAAATTCATTCCAGGCTGCTGGAGGATGAACTATTTTACAAGCAATTCTTTGCAGGTGCAGGCAGTTTTCTCTCAAGTGATAGTCTTCTGTTTCACATCCAAAAAATCTTCCAGAGCAGATGTAAGCCTTGGTGGCCATCGACGGGTATTCTTTACCCAATCGCGATCTCTGTACCTCCCATCCTGGTACACAAAATGCACCGAGGTACAAGCATTTTCAGAAACTGAGTTTGGATTGTATAAAAAGGAAGAAAGGATCAACCTTCAAATGGCATCACCTAGCAAAATGGTAGATCGGGACGTGTTTTGGTTTTCAATAAAAAGCACTTCAATATGTGATAATGACTGGGTGTGAAACATAGATGATACCTCAAGACGGCCCCAGTTTGTTTCTGCTTCACCATATAAACCTTGTTGGTACAAAGACACGGCCAGTGCTGCTCTTACATCCGCGAACTGAGTTGAAAACGAAAACAAAGATGTGACGATCATTCAGTATGCACTAATTCAAGAAATCAAAGAAGGAAAACCAAATGGTTGCGGCACTCCCGATTTATATGAGCATTCAAACAAACTTGTACCTCAGGATATTTTCTCAAAAGATTGCGAAATTGTCGAACAGCTTCATTGTCCCTGCCAACTTGGTAAAGTGCCTACAGCGCGGAAATTGAAAATAAATCAGCAAGTCTTCTAAATGGAAGCATTCTTTATAACCAGGACATTGAAGTAACATAAGAACGGAAGGTACAAATAGTTTTCCGAAGTTATGTACTATTTCCAGTGATGATTCGATTTTTCTTCGAGAGTTCATGCATCTGTGACTTAACAACACCCAAGCAATTACTGATTGCAAGATTATTTCTACCGATTTTGCAGACGCTGCCAAACACTAGGCCAAAGAGGAGGAAATTCCTTGAGTTATTGTACAGGTACAAATGGTAGTCATTGATATCTTTCTGTCACAACCGCAAGACTATAAAACCAGTGTCCTGGCTGTGCGATGCTAGTATGAAGGAAAAGAGCTTAGAAGAGGAACGAAAACGATTGAGTGCTACCTCGTCGTGAAAAGGGTCTCTCTTGAGCTGGGAATTTACAGAAGATAACAAGCAAAAAGACAAATTCACCACTGAGAGTACATTCCTATAACCCTTCATAGTCAATCAGGCCTACGAGATATCAATGGGCAAAGAGACACACCAGGGCGTAGTTAGCAGCAGCAAAGGAAAATTTGGGAGCAAGTTGCACAGCTCGTAGATAACTTCGTAAGGCATCATCCCATTTACTCATAGCTGCCTGTAAGATTCAAAGTCATATGATCACAGATAGTAGATCAGTATGTTTGAAATACTGGTCATCTCTTTTGTCCAACCTAAACATTGAAGCCTTTAAATTTCCATAGCTGTAAGCAACTTCAGTTGCTTAGAAAAAAAGGCATCAGGTAATCAGATTAACAGTAAGGCATGATTTTGAGATGCCCTTCTTTTGCATAAGCAGTGTCGATTAGCAAATTCCAAGGCCACATATATCCAAAAACACAAATTGATACAAGTAAAATAAGCATCTCGACCTATATAGGCAACTTGCATAAAATAAAAGCCTATGGGTGCAATATATAACATCTGTACATTCTACAGTCTGAAACAAAGCAGAAACCACTGGCGTGTAAAAAGCTATTGATGGATGAAACGTCCCAACAAGACTTGTCTCTCATACCTTGACGTTCCCCAAATTGTTCCATGCCGCAGGATCTTCGGGTTGGGCTTTCAGGACAGCTTCGTAATCTGCTGATGCTTCTTCGTACCTTCCCAAGCTCTCGAGTGCCACTCCCCTATTAAGGACAGGATCGACTGCATACCTGCAAGTGTGGTGAAGACCGGTGTGAGAATCATGAGCATAAGAATTACTTCCACAAAATATTAATACCATATGAGCATTTCAAACGTATAAAGTTGAAGTACAAAGAGGAAATAAGTCAAGAAAATTACGGTGCAAGTTGAATAGATCGATTGTAGTCTACCAGCGCCTCCTCGAGATTTCCCTGAACAAGTTTTGAATCACTCTTTACTTCAATGATGTTGATAAAGTACAGAAGAGATGTTCACAACGACGATGGACCCACATCTATCACCTTGTCATCATCGCGTCATCAGTGGAACCATAAGTCATGTTGGTTTTCAAGAACAATCCCAACGTTAAGCGTCAGCTATGTGCATAAAAAAGTTACCTGCCGACTACGTGCGTTTCCTCTATTTCCAAAAGCTCTGGCCAGAATGTCTTGGACCCATTCGGCATCAACATTTTCAGACGTGTTAATCACTTCTGTCCACAGTCGCTCTTCTTCCTCGACCTATTACGAGAAAATTGACGAGTAAACATAAGTCTCATAACAACAGACACATAAAATTAGCCTCGATGAAGTTATTTTCAGCAAACTTGTTATGACAAGTTGAAATCCCAGGTTCTTAGACCACAAAGAAAGTTCTCCAACTCAGAAATAACGTCACTGGAAGCTCTACAGTCCACCATGTACTGCAAAGAAAGGATTTCTTCACTGAGTACAGAGGACAGATGAGAAAGTTGTGAGACTAAAAGCGATGATATGAGAGAAGGCTAAAACGAACAGAGTGCGAACTTAACACTTACAAACTTGATACACTGATGCACATCATGTCGAACAGAGCGCGTCAATTTGGCAATTTGATCAAGTACACATGAAACTAATAAGACAGCACAACTTCAAGAACTCTGCAGATAAAGAGATCTTCAGCTCTAATAGAACAAGATCATAATTAAGATCAATCCGAAGAAGGAATAACTTTATTTCCTTTGAACGAGGAATGAGAAACAACCGTGGTGGCCTCTAAAGCTTGTCTAAAAACCGAAGCAGCATTCTGAAGACGTTCATCTCCAGCATCAAACTGGGCGGTTTTGGGTGTTGTAGTCAAATCGATTTTCGCAGGCACCATGGCATGGGCCTGTTTCTGCGGGCCAGCCCATCCGAACAGAAGTGCCAACGACATGAACATGGGCGCACCCAGTACGCGTCTCCTAGAGGTATTGCGTGGCAATCCAGAGTAATCAGATACTTGATCCAAGGACTCTGTTATTCTCTCGACATCACTCCACGTGTCTTTTATTCTTTGAATTTCATTTTGAAATTCGAGCAACCATGGATCATCTCCGTCCTGCATGAAAACCATACAAACATCTGATAAGTCAATTGCTGAAAGTTATCACGACGGACTGGACTCTGTCTTCGAAATTATGCAAGAAACAACAACGGCTCTAAGAAGTAAATCTCACACCATTGTCGCAGGGTTAGAAACAATGAGAGGGTTTGCTGTAATTCATGTCTAAAGATGAGGTATTTCAGCAAACTGCTAGGGATATATGAACATTTATATGAAATTCTATGAACACTGCAACACTGTGCATGACATGAAACATTTTAAGCTGATAACTGACATTCTGAAAGATGTTTCGCTCACACGTGCTAAACAGAAGGTGACTGACCTCTTCTGCCTCCGAAGTGTCTCCTGCGTCTTCATCAACCGACTTCAACATTTCCTTCTCCCCATAAAGGTAATCTGAGGTATTCACGTTAGGAACTATAATTTGTGGTTCCGCTTCTTGATTACTCGCATCTGAGACAAAATACTGAGGGTCGTTTTGCGCGCGTGTTGAGAATCTGAGAACTCTGTTGTCTTGATTCGACGAGAGTCGCAGGACATCCCACACAAGAGCATCGGATCTCCAATTCGACCGAGACCAGCCGGCTAGAGAATTCACACTGGTGGAACAAGAACCTTGAGCCCTGCTGAGAATTGCTGCGCAGGCCACAGCCGAGTGCAAATTACAAGACGCCATCAGTCTTCGCGTTCGACGTGCCACCGACTTCCAAAATCAGACCGACCCGAGAGCCAAACCTCGCGCTGTGCTCAAACGCAAACTGAAGCACTCGAGGAACATCACAGTTGCCAGCCACTCCGACGTCGAGCCCTCCCGCGGTGAATTAATTAGCGGTCAGAGGAAAAACTCCGCTGGCAGCTCGATGCAGCAGCTCCTGATTAAGAAAGCACCCACGGAGAAATCAGAGGGACCGAACTCGACCCCACCATCTCCGAGCAGCGAATCTTGATCCGAAAAGGTCGACGATCGAAGATCCGCAAGGCCCCGAGCGGACGAGCAAACGAGAGACTCACCACAGAAGCAGGAATCGGGCGCAGGGCGAGCCCGTGGCGCATCAAGCAAGTAAGTGGAGGCCAGGCGCGGAAGACGTTCGATCTTGAACCGCGCAGCGGTGCCCGAAGCCCGGCCAGACAGACGCTGGCCCGAAGCGGACGTGAGCCAGAAGCTCCGCAAACAAAACGCCGCGCGGACGACGACAAATCTGTCGCCTCCTTCTCGGACTCCGTCCGCCGATCTTATCCACTCCGGGCTCCATCCGCTCGCTGGCTCTGCGCTCCCGTCGCTCTATCTCTCCCGGACATCTGGATCGCCGACGGATGTGCGGCAAATCCACCGCTTCCTTCATCCTCCTGACTCCTTCTCTGGGCTGCCTCTCGATTGTGGGGCCGCTCCAAGACTGACGGACGTCTGGCTGACGGACGGGCGGCCGCATAAATGGATGTTCTTACGGGAGGAGATGGAAGGTGAAGTGCGTGACGGACTCCGGAGGTCGGATTTCAGTACCTCACCACTCTTTTGCTTTTGCTAATGGATTCTTTATTTCTTTTCTTAGCTATTATAGTGTGTATAGAGTATGTGTACTGGATGCTGAACGGAAAATCAAATAGATGTTTGACATGAATATTTCCGTGATCTACGTAGGTGAATTTATGACCACGTGAACGTAATACGAGTCAAGCTCCGGTGGAGGAAAGAAGAACTTTGGATGATAGCAAGAACCAGATTGTTGGAGATGCAAATGTTACCACTTTTGCCCTTCTGGTTGCCTAGAAAAAAACACATAGAACTCCTGACTTTTCGTCTTCCAAATGCAGATTTCTAATATTTTAACAAGACGGCACTCCAAGAGAGGCTTGTGGCTAATATAGCAAACTTGTATGTTATATTCTTATATATTTTGGACTGTGCATTTTAATTCACTCACAAGACGAACCATATAAGAAACTACAAGAATTGCAAACATTTTTGGGGGAGATAAGGTTATTGAGTCATGTATCAATGTTCTTTGCTGCATAATTGTGTACCCATGAGCTTATTTTTACCATCAGACCACTTTCATGTGATGATTACAATCCTGCCCTTAAAATCTACGAAGCCAAGCCCAGGCTGTGAGAGAAAAGTAGATACTGCATTCATATAGCACGAAGGTAGCTATGGATGGATATGCAAGGATGGATTCCTACGACACTCCTCTGCATCTGATCGGAGTTGTTCACTAGAGAAATGAGAAAATCTTCTTTCCTTGTCCTTGGAAGGTTTCTGAATCAAGAGACTGAACAAACTCGACGGCATTTGTAGTGTTGACATACTCAGAAAACCATTGAGAGGATGAAGTGTTCCTCTCTCGAAGCAGGGGAGCCTCAAGTCACAGGATTCAATCTCGTGGAGAGAAATCTGATATTGAACCTCGTAGAGAGAAATTCTCTTTTACTCGCTTCGTAATCCAACTCCCATGCTATATTTGGGGCATGAAGCATGAATTGCGGACAGACACCACGGTGTCCCGGAAGAAATTCTCTCTTTGCATACATACAGACATCGCAAACCAGGGAGAGAGACAATTATAAGCAAAGATAATGGTAATGTGAGCAAGTTTCCAGAGTTCATCAGCAGTTGCCCTACCTTTCCTTGGGATTTAAGATTTTTACCTCACAAGAAAAGTTCGGAAAACGACCCGTACGGGTCTAGCTTGGCCAAAGAAGGCAAAAGAATGACTCGTGCACAAGCATATCTATTTTGCAATATCGGGCACTTCTTTATATTTTGTTGAGATGTAGGATAAAATATATGTACATAAATGTGTTGAAAGAACAATGCTTTGCTTCTCCTGCTAGGTGTAAACTACATTTCATGGCCACACCTAATGTATTCCAAACTGGTTCGGCTGTCGCCAAGATTGCTGCGCCTACTTTGCTTGGCCATTCGGTAGAGACATGATTAATCCGAGTAAACTTGAATGCCAAAACTCAGTTCATGATCCTGGAATGAGCAGTTGAAAATCTGTCTTAAATATCACACGCTTCTCCGCACTCACCTTGTGTGGAAATTTCAGCAGTTAATTCTACGTGAAGAGATCAGACGTGTGTTTCAATCCCAACTCCTGCCCAGTTGAGGCTTTGCGGTTTCTCGTTTAGTGTCGACCTGTCTGGGAATCAAAGCTGGACTCTCCCCGTGCAAGGCTGGGGCAAAATGCCACCCGAACTCTAGCAACACGTATGGACTGATCTACCTAAGAGCTTGGAGGCTTTATATCAATCCACCAGGACACAATGGAGCTAGCTGGTTCGCGCTGGCAGCAATATCCAGGTTGTCTAATGAGTCTACAATCAATGCTGTAAGGGAAGAAGAAGACCATCTGGAGGAGCTGAAAGGTGCTTACCATCAGCTAGGCTATTGTTTCCTTGTGTGGCAGGCAGCAAAAGGGCCAGTTGAATGATGTGATCCTGGGCAAGCTTCACTGGGTTTGGTAGTCTCAGAAGCTTAACTTGCTGATTGGAAGGACCAAAGAACACTCTCATGATAGTAAAGTACTCAGCATGTTGTCTTGCAAAATCCCACTCTCGGGGAGAGATTTCAAACCAGTCCTTGTCCCCTGAACGTGTGGCCTTCACCTCCACAAACTCCTGCTGCCCGGATTCTTTTAATATCACAATGTCGTACGCTGCTCCACTCTCTCCTTCCTGATTGATCCACTTCACATGATTGGGTCCGTAGTTTCTGGCAAGGTACTGGAACACAAGAGCTTCACCTGATCGACCAGTAACCTCTCGTTGCTGCTCGTTCAGTGGATGCATAGCAAGATAATCTCTTCCCTGGAAATTCTGCAAGGTGCCAGACATAACACCGTTCTCGAAAAGCATTGGATCGTAACCATCTATAATGACTTCTTGCACGTCTACAGGCAGACTTCGGTTGTCAATGAGTGGCGCCGCATCTGGCTGCATTTGGGAAAGATTATGGCGATGAACGTCCCAATGTCCTGTCATGGTTCCTGAAGCCTTGCTGCAAATCGATTTCTCTTCTGGGTAACTTTGCCAACGCTGGCTTGGTGCCTGTGGAGCTTCATAACCAAACCCAGCATCACTTCCCCGTTCAACTCCCAAGTTTCTAGGAACACCATCCCACATAGGCTTTTCTCTGTAACTCGACATCTTCGGCATACCACCTCCATTCTCATACTCGAGCATCGGATCTCCCTGACTTGGACTGCCTACATATGGACCATGGTTCCTCGGAGAATAACCATTCATAACATCCGGTGGATAACTCACCACTTCCGGTGGTGAGTTCTCCTCAGAAGGACCACGCACAATCCTCTCAGGAGATGGACTTACGCCTTCATCTGTAGGTACAGGTTTCCAGGAATGAGGAGGCCATCCATCTGAAACCAGGCCCCTGACAACCTTCTTTCGCAGATTCTGGTGATTAACATGTCTTTCAAGGTATAACCCACCAGATGTTCTTTCCACCTCAGGAGGACTGTCACTGGTTTTGAAGCCAAGCGTCCACACATCCTCGCCCTCTGGAATCGGCTGAATGCCTTGTCTGTTGGAGATGAAGTTTTCTACGTCTCGTTCTGGCGACCCTGAGGAAGCCATTAGAGTAATGAGGTGCAAGAAGTTGGCTACAGAAAGATCAGACTTTCCGTTAAAAAAGAAACGTGACAGCTCCACGTATATATTGCAGTAGTCCTTGCCGAAATCATCCACAACGTGTAATGTGGCGACTGATGTGGTAGTGGATGGAGAAGGCATCTGCTCAACCAATAAACCAGGACATGTCAACGCATATACAATTCTCCATTTACTAAAAAGACAATAGAATAGGGTAGAATCACTACAGAAAATGGATCCTCTTAAATTGAACTGTTTGTCGAAGGGCCTTCATATTACATGTCCCCTTAGCAAGGGAGACCTGCACGACGGTCTACTAGGAACTGCAGATCACGCGAACTGAAACACGTACAAGAAAATACACTACAGTGTAGCAGTAGCAAAAATTACATCCGGCAACAAATAAAAAAGCTTCTAACTCTCACGCCAACTGTTGGACATTATGAATTTAAACCATGACTTCAGCCGACACCTTCAGCATGCTAAACTCGAGAGCAAAAATTTAGGAAGATAGAGATGAACGAAAGACCTGCAGGAGACAAGTACTGGGTGTCCGTCTGCTTGATCGTATGGAACTGTTTCGTAAGCAATACTGGAAGTAAAGCTGATCCACAACAACAAACTGGATTCTCTTCAGGGATTCAGTTATTCCAGTATTTTGGAGGTAATTGTAGTGCTCAATGTGGTGATGCCTCAAATATCGTTGAGCATACGGAAGAACCCATCCGATCAAGGCTTCGATCCGCCCACAGTCATGAGATCCGTACTTGATGACTTCCCTTTCCACGGCCTGCAGTAGACAAGGCAAGGACAAAACTTCAGTTTTCCAAATGACCCACATAGCACACAAAAGTTTAGGACAAACAACATGAGACTTCAAGATGCGATGCGTGAGTATGGTCCATAAGTAGAAGCTAACATTGCCCAGCTGTTGATTTGGTGACACTGACCTCAGAAAGTTTTGGGATAGACAAGGCTTGCACGAGTGGTTGTAAAGTAACACTGCTCCGGCCGCATACTTTCAGGAGATCAACATCTCGCAGAAGTAGGAAGTTGATACAACCCATAGAATCTTTGAACTCGTCTCCGAGGTTTTCGTCATCGCACACACAAATGAGCCCTGTCTGGGCGTTGAGCGACACCCATTTGTCCTGATTGGTGGGGAATACACAGCTCTCCAATTCCTCCAGACGTCTTTTCCACCTCACTAACTCTTTGGGATCAACTTTGCCCGCAGCGATTTCCATGGACCACACGTAAAATACCTCCATAACCTGTAAGCGAGGTAAATACATTAGTAAAACGAAAAATTAAGCAAGGACGACAGGCATCAAAGGATGATAGATATTGAAATATATCGGAGTGTTGCAGGTCATTGGCCTACCATACCTGGTCGAGTACAGCTGAAGGAAGTTGCTTGGCGGCTACTTTTCGAAGGACTTCAAGATATCCATCAAAATTCGGTTTCTCTTGAATACGGCACTCAAATACGAAGAATTCATGAAGTCCATGATAAATACTGGACAAAGGTGTTACTGGTAGCAGCAGTGTAGTTTCTCGATCGAATGTAACAAGGTTGAGAGTGTGTGTTGGATCGCTCCAGCAAACCCTTTCGATTGGATAAAATGTACCTATTTGCACTTCTTCATAAACTCTGTTCCAGTGTTGCGGTACAAATATTGACGCTCCTGACTGGAGAACATCTAAGATGCTCTCTTTGTGCGCTGGGAGGCTCTCCCATAAAAATACATAAAGTCGGGTCATTTGAGCCACACTGCATATTTGGAAATGAGCATACTCTCAGTAAACACACAGAAATGAACTGACTTCTGGTATGTATTTCAGTTAAAACTTACAACAGACTTTGTTTAGATGCAAATACTATCCAAAATTAGGTTCCTGAAACATAAAATGTCAAAGGCTTCCAGAGGTCGTGAACGAAACGCACCTCGCTTTGAACTGACCACTGCCAACACTCCAGCGACGAAGTAGAAGCAAGGCATCTTCCACCAAAACTTGAGTGCGCAATCCAAGAGCATCCATAAAATTGTCATTTTGAATCTGCAAGAAACCCCAAACATAAATGACATTTACTTCCACTACTCATACTCAAATCAGCTCCCTGGACAGCAGGCGCATCTAGGGAGACTGACCGAGGTAGCCTATAAGAAGAGCATCTCGCGGAACCAAGCAGCCCTGTCTGGTAAGGCCCATGCCTGAAAGCGGATAACAAAGTAAGATTTTCGTAGCAGAAGGTTGGTCGACCAATCGCTCTGAGCATCGCAAGTCCCTTACGAGTAAAGAGTCGTCCGTAATATAAATTCTTCGGGTAGAGTGCGAAAACAATTAACGTCAAAACCATCATCAGGTCTGGAATACGTACCGGAGGCAGGACATAGGGAGCATGGGCACCCAGAATGTTTCTAACGTCATCGCATACTCGAAAGAGTTTTTTTGGTGGATGCAACTCTTCGTCCAAACTTGACATAGCCCACGAGAATTGTTGGAGCTGCAACTTGAAGCTTGAAACTGTAGTCATCCTCCGTGACTCACTCGCAGTCACAGGCCTGTAGAATGCTTGGCAGAACTGATAATAATAATCATCCCAAAGTCGGTCGAGCGCGATGAGAACACTAGCACAACGTTCCCTCACATTATAACCTGAATCGAGCTCTTCTTTTGAACTTTGCCTGTATGTCAGAATCTGAGTCAATTCTGCGCTCTGCCAGTCTTGAACAAACCAGGCCCCTTCATACCCAAAATCACCTTCCCATGGTACCTCGCACCAATCGCTGGACTTCTTGTCCACAATCTTCTTCTCAACGGCAACGACTTGCACGAAATCTGTTACACCGAGTTCCTTGAAAAACCTACGCCACTTTGCTACTGCTTCGTGATCGATGGCTTGCAGCTGCATGTAAAGAGGACTGACTTCGATCCATGACACTCCAGTACCTTCCAAAATCTTCCTCATGTCAAACTGGTTGCCCATGACAGTACCAAAATGTATAGGCTGCTGTCCTGCCCGAATGAGTCCATGGCTGGTTAAAATGACTGCACACTTTTGAAGTTGCGCTTTAATTTTGAACCTTTCTGTACTGCAGGTCATGCAGCTAGTCTCCAGGTGTGACATAAAGAATCCCAAGTATTCAGCAACAAGACGGGGTTCTTTTGTCATGCAGTCCTCACTTGCCATCGCGGGTAAGATGTGGCTTTTCATCACCTCGTGGGATGAAATCCGGCTAACACCCAACCTTTGAAGGATGCTCACGACCTTTCCCACAGAAGAGTCTGAACCCTGCTTCCTAGTCTCACCAGAGTCATCTACGTGAGCAGAGAGCAAACTCGGGTGCACAGTCCTGAGTTCCGATGAAAGCAAGAGAAATCTGCTCAGGGAGCTGCTCATTCCAAGCCCGTCCTCAGACATTTCACCAGCAAACCAAACAGGACCATCTGCAAGAGCAGTGAAAGAACCGTTTGATAAAGGGATGAACGGAAGAGTTTGAAGCTCCATACGGTACGAGATGTACTTATCTTCATATATCGCCGGGTGATGTGACAGCTGGTCGGACTCAAAGCAGTCGTGGAGCGCCGAAAGCCAGGCTTCAACCCAGTTGAGGCCCAAACTCAAAAGAGCTCCTTTCTTGTGGCAGAGAGACCTCATCACAGCTATCAAAGTGCCAGCTCCAAATGGTTGCACTCCCAACTTGGATGCTAAAATATCAGAAAGCACCACCTCATTATCTAAGTAACAAAGACCCAGATGTTCTTTCAGGAATGCATCAGGAAGTAAATGGCGAATTTGAATACTCCACCCACGTAACAAAACACATGGTAGTGCCCAACCTCCGCCTTCGACCGGCAGGCATGCTGTGGCCCGCAAACGGGACATTATCATTCGAGGTAAAGGAGAGAAAAACCCCAGGACTTCCCCTTCCATGGGTACAAAGCTCATGAAGCTTGAAATAGCCTTTCCTGGATTCCCCGATGTAGAAATCAACTTCTGAAACGATTGTGCTGATTGAATAAACACATCAGGAATTTCTGTCCTCAACCACTGATTCCAATCGCTGTCACAATCCACCTCTTCCCTTGAAGATGGTACGATAAAGTCACCCTGCACAATGAACCGAAGTCCATATGCTCGGAGGGGAAGAAAGGCAAACACCTGCTGCTGTTCACTGCAAGCTTCGTAGATTCCTTCGGAGACCTCATGGAGCTGGAAAGCCAGAGCAATCTCTGTTCCTGTGATGCCAGGGCGGTGAACAGTAGCCTTGAGTTGACGCCTCACAACCATCCAGGTAGCCGTTCCTTTCTCATGCACCACCTTAACAAGATCATCACCAAGATCCTCACGATGCATTACCACCATCGACCCGGTCATCTCGTTCCGTACAGCTATGCATCTCAGCCGGTGCAGGAAAAGCAGCAACGATGGATGAAGATCACTGAACTTTGAAGCAAGTAGATTCATACCACCTCCTTTATGTATGGCAGCTTTAACTGGGAGATCAATACGGGTATTCCAACCTTCACTTACACTCTTGGGAACGTTAACCTTTGGCATCAAGGCTAATATATCATCGAGAGACTGGCAACCAGGAGGGTGAGGAACAATAGTCGGTAGAATAAACCCAATATCACCCTCTGATATGTCGAACTTCACATGAAAACCATTGGAGTGTATCTCTGGGGAGTTGGTAACCTGCAATAACATCGACGAAAAGTACATAAAATGTTAAACCAGCATCTTATGCCTTGGCTCCTGTAGTTCCTAACCATAGATAATGCATTGTTCGAACTTTAAAGTCCGCCATTCTCCAGTGATTGCAGTTCATGCGTGACTCTTCTTCAACTGCTAGTCTAACAGAATAAAACTCTTGGTAGGTACTGATAGTTACTCATATTCTTTCGATCAGTAACGATTTTCTCTACCAATACTCAACTCATATTGTTTCCAACTGAAGTTCCCTCCAAAAGTTCAAAAGGCGTCAAATTCAAGGAACCATCAAAACTGTAAAAGAACAATTATATCATCGAGAGACACGTTACCCGAAAGACAGATTTGAACCCAATGCCTTTGTGACCAATGTAACCAGTCTTCGTTCCTGCTTTCGTTGAATTCCCCACATCACAGAGAGCCCTCATGTTCACGGCTGTAAATCCGACTTCGTTGTTCAGCACCACAATTCGTCCTTCTTGGATCAGGAAAACCAACGCAGCCTCCACACCGGCAGCATAAGAATTGTCATCGGCATTTTGAACCTGTGAACAACCCAAACAATCCCAAAGATCTGGATTAACTACCATGACGTCAAAACAAACAGAAACTGAAACCAAAACGTCGACTATGTCTCTTCATGCTCGAAGCAAACCTTCAGGAATATGTCCCATAAACCTGACCAAAAGAAAACGTAAAATGTGTCATGAGTGGTCTCCCAAATGGAAAAATAAGCCTCAGAATAAAGCAAGCTGAATTACCAGCTCAAGGACAAAATGAGAATCTTGTGAGTAAAGATCACTAGACAGGCGATGCAGTGCTCGACCCATTCTTGCATGCTGCCGTGCAAGTAGGTCACGTTCTGTGCCTCCAATGTCCTGACCCATCCCAAATTCGGTCCGGCGAATTTCCTCAACGACCTTCTTTGCATCTGATTCCATAGAGCCCTTCTCAGAAAGCATATTCCTAATTGAGCTATCATCTTGCATCGTACTACTCTGTCTCCCTTTGATTCTAACTTTGTGTTGTGGCATTTCTGGATAAGAACTTGACTCGCCAGCGTGAGTTAATTGGGCAGTCACCATCTCCGCATCCTCGTAACCCATTACCCTGTCACCGTTTGATACAACCATCATGGTATCATTTCCGGAAAGAGGCTTATCGTTCACTCCCTTCTTGGAGCTGGATACACTAGAGTCGTCAACATCCATTGAATCTATGGTATGGACATGAACAGATGGAGGTAGCTGAGGAGGACCACTAACAGAAACATTGTAATCATTGATCCATTCTGGAATACCTAGCGCCAAGCCCACACAATGAAGAACGGATCTACGTTGAGAAGTGACACAGCTGCTGAGTAGCGCGGCAGGGCACCCAGGAATTAGTGGTGTAAGCGCAGGTAGCAATATCTCTGCAGCGAATACACGAAACTCTGGTATGATCCCATGGAGGCAATCTACTACACAGCGGGCTGCAGTTGTGCTAGGATGACTGCCAGGTACCATCAAATTTGCAGAACTCTTCAGCTTCAAACCGGCGTCATGATGTGCGGATTTCACTGTTTGACCCTCCACATGTTCCGTAAACTTCCGCTTCACACTCGTCACAGGGGTCCTGAATGTCGATTGAACAGCCATATCCCCTGCACATGATCCTAGGAATATCTCCAACCCTTTATTGGCGTGAGACCTTAAAAGAGCAGAAGGAGTGGTTGTAGTACCTCCGTAAAGAGCTACAAGGGACGTAAGAACTGCTGCCATTTGATCCCCACGCCCACTTACAGTCGCCAGAAGAAAGCTGTTCACTGTGGCTTTCTCGTCAATGCGTAGCAAAACACCTTCACACGTTACAAGTGCATGCAGCCCAGCCTTAACACCTTCTCTCTCGAACCAACCTAGCAGAGGGCCAAGAGTAGGAGCAAAAACTTGGTCCCATTGAGACCACTGTGAGAGGTCGGCGAGAAAAGGTGCCTTCAGCATAGACCTAGCGGCATCTGCACTTGTCATACTTCCCAATACACCAACTCTCCTCTCGCTGACAGCTTCCAAAGTTTCAACACTTCGAGGTGTCTCCCCACATCCCTCCTCTTTGACCTCATGACTTAGAGATGATCCAAGCAATGGTGCCAGAAAATATACGTGACTATTAGAGAGTAGTCTAGATTGCTGTTCCTTGTATATTTGGAGAAGATTATCTACAGAGCTCGCACCCAGTTCCTCTACACTGTCAACTTTGAACTGTCTACAAAGTAAGCGTAACAGATCATCTTGGGCGACCGAGCCATTTTCACTCACAGAGGGAAGAGCTTGAGTAAGAAAAGAAAACACACGCTCCACGGGCACTTTGACGGAGACCTTGGAATGTACAGACTGATCACTAAGAAGAGAAATAATCTGGCGGGGTAGTAACTCCATATTCTGCTCTAAGAAATCAGGAAAACTACCAAATCCCAAGGATGCAAAGGATGGGACTGAATGCTTTTCAGCTAACCATTTTTCACATTCATACGTCCAATGCAGGAACGTCCACCAAGCTCGCGACTGTTTGGATTCGGCCTCGAGCATCTCTTCAGATATTCTCATCTTCGAATGCTGATCATAATGTTCCAACACGGAAGCTGCTAATAGCTCAGGACCTGCTCCAACGCACATTCAATTTATCAGCTGATTAACAGGTATTATTCAACAATCAAATATATCAGCTGGTTATTCAGATCAGAGTCGTCCAGAACAGGGCACACGGTATGGATGTGACTTACCAATTTGGAATATGTATATATCTATGCGAGACTTACACCCATATTTAGAGCAACAGAGGAGACACAGTCATGGCTCAACAATTTCCAAGCTACATCGCATAAATCCGACCTCCCATTTCAGCCATAAAATAGAAAAGGGAACTTGGAAAATCGTTATCTATAATGATCCCTGCCAAACTAGAGAATCTAAGATTAACATCCAGACTTTTAAGAACTCTAAGAGAAACAGTGGTTCGGATGAAACACAGCTATGTGAAACCAGCAGCGCAAATAATGTGGATACGATAACACTGAGGTAAGAGACACATACTTGTAGCTTCTAAAACTTGACAAGGACTGCTCTCTCTTGGATCGGGAAAAACGTCAATTGGTGCTGCAATGTCAACAGGGCGCAATTCTTCCTTAACAGGCTGCTTCCCGTCGTCCACGATGTCTAGAAAGTTGTCATACATGCTGTCCCAGTAGCCAGCTTTCACTGACAGAACCTGTTTATCCAACTTGTAGTCAGTAACCTGGCGAATGTGTGCAACTAAAACATAGTTTGAAGGACTAAGAAACACGTAACAAGATGATCACGTTACAAGCACCAAATGATCACATGTGGCATAGCCATCAGATCCATCGATACCAAATCAACAAAGATCGTGTGTAACATGAAGATGAAAAGCCAGATTCAAATACGGTAATGATGGGGCGAGTAAGAAGGTTCAGTTGAAATTATTACAGCAACATTAAGAAGACCAATAGCTGGGTAGGCTTTGAAGATTTTCGACTTTCCGCTCCGTTTCTTTGTGCCTTTGAATTTTCTAGACATCTCAATCATTTTCATGAGCACCTCATGAACAGATCGATTCTCGCACGCATCCTTCAGGATGGTAACGAACTCTTGAAGCTCCATCCCCGATAAGTAAAAGTCTTCCTGCTCGGAGTTCGCAACAAACTGTCGCAAATCCTGCTTTTTCTGTCGTGCACGTTCCTCTGCTTCTGAAGGGTAAGGACAATTGGTGGTAGAGGGCATGGGAAATAAACGCACACTGTCGTCATCGTCCTTCTTCTTACTTCTGTCTGCACTAGTTTTCTGTAGCAATCTAACAGCTCGTTTGTTAGAACCTTCCAACTGATCATCGTCCTCCAGATCATCCTCAGACCCCGTCGCTGGATCTGAATTGAAGGGAAACTTCCGTTTACCCAGCGCAGCCTTTTTCTTCTCAGCTGCAAGAAATGAATTCACTCTTTCCATGACACTAGGTTTTTGCTTCTTATCAAACTCCGCTCGTGCTCGACTCTCCCATATGCTAATGAGTTCCTTCTCAGCCTTTTTTGCTCGACGGATGAACCCAATGTGCATCCTGTACGTGATTGCAGCTCACTTCAGAAAACAGGTCCGCGATAGCAAATGATTTACAAACCATCAAGTATGAAAACTCGCTTTGAAAGCAAAAACCCCACGGTTGGTGTAATCTGATAAATACTAGTGGTGTTTATGTGACCTCGGGAAGAATCTAGGGAAATCAAGTTGAATGGTGTAAACAGAGCAACAAATGTTCTGTGTTCTAAATACTTAGTCTTCAACTTCATCGTTTATCAGCGTCCTAGATAATTGAGACAATTTTAGGTAGTTAAGTACCCGAGACTTTGTATCTTGATACAAAGATGCTGAGGAGATGGAAGAGAGCGCTCCTTTTGTATAAAACTTAAAAAATTGTCAATCTGAACACGAGTGTCCTTCCCCAGATTTCCGATGTAGTCACTAAGAAGCTGTATCACTTCTCCGGCGGTGATCTTGTGGACCTCTGCCCCGACTGGTGGTGTGAAGTAGTGGCCTACTAATGGGTGGCAAAGAAGTGGCCCTAGACCTAAGTCCTCGAACTCTTTCACTCCTTCATCCCGTGTCAGGTCAACACTCAGATCATACAAAGTGGTTATCTTCTTCCCCGCCACGTGAGAGTGGATGAAGGCATTCACCTGTGAAACGTCAACATCAAGATTTAGTTCATTCTTCGTGAGTCGATTCAACTACTTGACAATCACTTCGGGAGGTAATGAAGTAGGTCGTCCCACCAGGTAAACCTACAAGATTTTTCGATCTACCTCTCTGAATGTACTTAAGAACCATAACCGATGGGTAAAAGAAGAAACAGTCATTAAGCCAAAGCCAAGAACACAGTGCTCTGAGTTGCTTGTACCTAGTGAAAACAACTGAAACAACCAAGAAATAACCCTGATCCAGGGAGATAAATTCCACTAAGAGAAACCCTCTCAACACTCAAATAGTTCTCTCAATTACGTCTTCCTCCTCCCCTTTATATCCTCTTGCTTAATTATACTCTTTCTCTAATACTACCACCGTTAAGCCAGCGCGGGAGGTCTACTATATTCGAAATATTACAGGCAATTACTACGGAGATGTGTAAGGATAATGTAGTATATTGCACTAACCTGCATGCACACTCGAATTCTGGATTTACTTGGATTGATACCTACTTGCTACTAGCACTGCTCCGCTGGGTTACTGCAGAACCCTTCACCTATAGTCTATAGTCTTCAGTCTAAAACAGGAGATTGATAGAAGGTACAATTTGTGTCGACATTACTAGTGAGCAATGGACTGTACGGGGAGACGATACAAGTTAAAGCAGCCCCATGTTCTGTGATATGACCAAAAAGACCCTGCGAAAGTGCTTATTGTAAATCAAATTGGAACCAAACTGATCCGCTTCAACCTATAAAAATTTCTGTCAGGGAGGGGAATACGACACAAAAATTCTGAGCCTAAGTTCGTGTGGGGCAGTAACAGCTTGCTATCTAATCGAGGAGCAGACCTGTCCATTTCTCCACAACGTTCTTAAGCAAACAGAGACTATTCGGCAGCACGAGAAGACGAAAATTTAATTGCAATAAAATCCTGAGTTGCACATTCTTTTGAAGCTGCAATCCATTTCACTAGAGAAAGAACAGCTCCCTGAGTTTGCTACTCAGATATATGTTTGCCAGAAATATGTGTTCTCCCTAATCATAATCGACTTGTGTCAGCTTGGTTGTCTTCGACACCGCACCCTCATTGACACTAGAACAGTTTTGCAAACAGGATCACAAGATTATTAGAATTCCTTCTCTCCTGATCATTAGGGCTCAACAGCAAGGCCATGGAAATAGATTTAAGTGTGGGTAGTTCGAGCTTTCGTGTGAGATAATCAAGCGTGTAGAAAGCAGAGTGACCTGTACCTTGCCTTCGAGCAGAGACAATTTTCGCAGACATGGAATCTCATTAGGCATGACACCCAACGATTCAAACGATGGAACTCCGAGCGCTGACAGAGTTGCCTGGGCAACCTTTCCTGTAGAGACACCTTTGCGGCCCGCCAACAAATCGTTGTAGACACGAGTGGCCACTCTCTCAGGCAATCCAAACTTGTCGTCCCGTTCTCCATTGCGTTTCCTGCCAGGCACATCGCTCCACACTGGAAAGGACGGGCTGTCAGGGGACATAATTGGACGCCTGCCTCGCTCCTGAGATCCGACGAGTCCATGCTCAACATTTTGCTGAGGTGAAGCTGCTAAGTTGCTCGGCGAATTACTCAGCCTCCTTCCCCCACCGTTCACATGGCCCTGTGGCGGCGAGCCATACATTCCCTGGATATTCTGCACCGGTCCATTTCTCATCCCTCGGTGAGAGAGAGTCCTGGAGCCCACTCCTGGTGGAGGTGGCGTACTCCACTGAACATCTTGACCTGCACCGTGCTGCGGGAACTGTCCTCTCCATCCACGAGGAGACTGTCCTTCCCAGGGAGTCTGATGCGGTGAAGACACAGGTGCCCCATTTGCCCTACTCAGAAAAAGGTGGCCGCCTCCTTGAAATTCCTGTGCAAAAGTCGGAGAATCTGGGGGCATAGATGTGATTAAAGGACCCCATTTGACACGAGAATTTCCGTTGCCACCTTGCATTCCGCTAGATCTCGAAACGAACTATCCTTATTTCGGTGTCCTCGCAAGCGCAGATATATTGCTATTGCACTGCATTGAGATTCATTCGTTGATTCACTGTGATTTCCAGATTCGCACAGCAAATTGTGTACATGGATGCTGACCGATAAGAAGCTTCATGAATGGGCGGAGAAGACAATAAAATTCGTAGAAGATAGTTGAGTCGGCTCCGTACTGTATTTACAAAGTTATCCTCGACTCGATATGTACAAACTTATAGGTATGTAGATGATGATGTGTCGGGTTTTTTCTTCACTTTCCAATGCCTCGTGGGTCCAACGGGCGTCGTTACTGGGTTAACCGGAGAGATGTGCACTAAGCAGCAGGAAAACCCACATGTGAATCAGAGCAGCAGAGAAATTGTCAGCTCTCAGCTCCCCTTTCGATTGAAGAACCCTGCAAAATAAAATCCCGTGGGAATGCACCGCTGGCTACCAGCAGCTCCGTGCAATCACGGCCCACATGGGAATTCAGAGCTCAAAGCCCACAGTTCAATCGAAGTCCCCTCTCAACCATTTCCAATGGCTCCTACACCGTTCGAGCAGGCTCGCGACGGTGGCACATTGGGACAGGGGAGAGTTTTCCAGTGGACTAAGAGACCTTATAGTAGGAGGCATCAAGTGCCCTGGGCGTTGGCTTCCTGCATTGCTTCAGTGCACCTCTCTCCTAACTCTCCACCTTCCAGACCCCACCACACCCTGCCCAGGAAGAGAGACTCAAGTTATACTTCCTGCAAGGTGTACCAACTTCAGCTCCTCCCTCCATGACCTCCACGATGCTTGCCCAATATTGGGACACGATCTTATCTGCTTCTGTTCATCAGCTCGTCACAAGTCCCTCATTGCCCACAGTCTCCTGCCTGGAAATGAGCACAGTGCGGTAAATCTCAGCTGGTACCAGATCGCTTGCGTTCTTTCTTTCTTTCTTTGACTCTCGCCGTCTCCTCGAAACACACCTTCCTCTGTTCCCACACCTTGAGTCCCTTCTCATTCTCCCGACTCCCCGTCCCCTCGAATGCCTGTTTCTCGTCAATGAAACTTTACTCCACCGCTGTGCTAGCCCCTCAGAGCTGCGTGCTCAAGTCTTTTCCTCCGAATCTCGCGCTCCTCGCCCGCATTTCACTGCCTCTGTTCCATGGATGCCCATCCTCTGTACCACGCAAGGAAGCCCGAGTCCTTCGTTCGTCCCCACTGGGCGAGCCTCGGGAGCTCTCCTCTCGGTTCTCTAAACCCTGAACCCTGTCCATGCCTCCTCCCTCCCTCCCGTTCGGGCCTTTGAAACAACCGAAAGATCCCTCTGAATATTCCTCCCGCAGTCGCTCACGGGGCGCGGTCATGGTTCGTTCGATTCCCAGTCCCTACAGGAAGAACCACCGTGGGCACTTGCGGCTGATCCACCGGGAGGGAGGCTTTACTTCTCTCCGGGCTTTGAATCACCGCACTGTGCCGACTCGACTCACCCGAGCACGGAATCGTCTTCTCTTCTTCTGGGGTCAAAGGGGGACCATGAGCACAGTGGTTTCTCGCCAATCGAATGACATGATCGGCTGGAGAAATCCGAGGTTCACTCCATCTGACATAGTACATTCGTTCCCGAATCGCTAGAGTGGCGATCACTCCTGTCTTCTACTATGTAACCCTCGGACGTCCTAGTGTCGTACAGCATGGACGAGTCTAGACTAGTCTCATTTTGCCTTTCTCCCGTGATTTGGGCTCCCTCATGGTGGATCACGAGGACAATATTCATCAACAGTTCCAGCTTATTCTTCTCAACTGCTGTAATGTGCTCCACCGGGACCTTTTCTGCTTGAGCACCGAAATCATGGGTCTTGGGTAATGGCTTGAAACCTTCATGTACTCTCCGTAGACTCTTCAGGCCTCCACATGCTCTTACTTCCTTCGAGACCTTGCTCGCTTGCTTGCTTGAGGGTCCGGCGATCTTCATGATTCTCAAATAGTCGTGATTATTGTTCTGATCTGCAAAGGTATCCTAGATGTTAATAGCGAACGCATCCTGCAAATAGGCAGGGAAAGAGCAGAACTATCAGTCCTACTTTAATCTTCTGCAAATCTTCCGAGGATACAAGGGAGTTGACAGCCGTAACGGGTTACACATGACAATGATCCACAGCAAAGTTGACATCCCGCTATCTGCATATTCATGTTTACGTGATTGTTGCAACTACAGTACTGATAAACTGTGAAACTCAAACCACGTGATGGGCACACAGTCCACCTCGAACCAGTGCTGCGTGGTTTGAGAAGTCAAACCTTTGACTGTGCACGGTGGAGAATCCTCGCTATGTTCCTACTGTATATGACCAGATATTCGTATCCCTTCCCTACAGCCGAGAAGAACCTTTTGCTGAATTACTTACTACATACTATTCAGAAAGATATTGACGGGGGCTTCTACCGATCCGGATGCCCGTCCAGAACATTCCACTGTTCTGCCATGGCTTGTGCCCTTGCGGTACCCTGCAGTCATTCTTAGATCTGCTACAGTATTTGCAGCGAGGATTGTGTAGATGCCCTTCCATTTCTTTACGTTTATATACCGAGAGCAAGTGCTTTTAATAGAGCTCGTAAAAAAGCCAGATCTTTGGAATGTAATCAAATGTGATCTAATGTAATGAAAAGGAATTGGTGGAATAAATAATTTTGCAGGATTCGTAAGTGACATCATATCTTTGAGTAAACAAGATAAGCGAGTAGAAGCCCCCAACAAGGCTGGGAATTTTGCGGCCATCCCCAGCAACAGCCTGACTTTTGGTTTCATCTCAGGACAAAACGCCTTGAGAGACCTCAGGATTCTTCGAGTTCGAATCTGCGGACTTAAAAGTCAGAGCATTAACGTCCAGGTGTAGACAAGGAAATCAATATTTCAAGAGATTGACGATCTTTTACAGTGTGGACTATTAAGGGCGGCAGAGCAATAGCTTCTACACATCCCGGGGGCATTGGCAAGCGAGGACCCTAGTGAGATGAGTGTTCCCTGTGTCACACACCAACCTTGAACTTTGACATCACTTCACTACAGGAATCGGTCTTGATTCTTTTGACAGCGCGATCAATGCACTCCTGGTTACGTCGCAATGCTGCACTAGGAAATGACACAAACAAGTCCCAGCTGCTCTCTGGTTTTAGCAATGCCAGTTATTCTCGTGGCCAATTAACATCCTGTCCTTTCTTCTTCAGTGCTAGCAAGAGAAGCCCAGCCAGGTGACCCATGAAATCTTCCACTCCATGCCCTGTCCGTTCATCAGCCTCAATCCTGATCGATCTCTTCAAGAGTCTCTAACTAGGCTCTGGTTCTCACACTGCAGACACATTATGCCATCAAGATAGATAAGCCTTCATGCAAGACAAACACTTCCATGTACTGTTCGATTAAAAGAAGAAGTGATCCAAAAACTTACCCACGGGTGACATCTTTGCAAAAAAAAGTTCTTGAAATTCGTATACTGACAGCAAAGGCGCACGAAGGGAACCCTGAACCATGGGTCCAGTTTGCTAATCTGGATAATAATGCCCAACTTAATAACGGTCTGCTTCCCGGGTTGAAACTGACCACTAGATTGTCTCCCTTGTTCCGGGGTTGAATTTCCTAGCCCATTACTGGTTGCACTTGGCAACTCAAACCTTGTTAAACTGGTTAAAGTCAAAAGGCCTCGGGACGGAGCAGTGTTTCCTTGCCATCATTTTGGCTGTTTTGGTATTCGGGACGGGAGGAACAACATTGAAACAAAAGGAGGGGATATTCGCCATCCGACGAGGTCAATCTTGCGCGACGCCTCTCTATCCTCAAGGGCGTTTTTGATTCTTGATTCTTGATACACCTCACAATATCCAGTCCTTTTATTTGAGCAAGGGTTTGTATGCTGATGCCGTCTTAAGAGACATCCCAAGCGTTGTAGATTCTTGGAGTCTCATTCCTTCCCACTCGTTGATTTTAGCTGGTTTTAAGTTGGTTATTGGTATCAAAAACCGACGAGAAAAGAATTCAGCGCTGAGAGACGAAGAAACCTCCCTGGGAGTTCTCGATTGATCCTTGCTGAGAGTCATGCACTCCAGAAGTCCTCGGTGCCGGTCTTCCCTCTAGTGCTCTTGAGTTGCATGACCACATGCTCGAAAAGGCACTGCTCTCGGAGTAAAATCTTCCCCTTCTCCACACCGTCCGAAGAGGGCAAGAGCGGGAACTACGGTCGAAAGGCCAAGGTATGATGATGCGTGCCGGCTCATGTAGGTAAACACACGCACACGCTCGTCTCCTCTCTCTTTCTCTTTCCCCATCTTTCTCTGCATGCAACTGAAGTACGATCCATATACAGCATCAATCCACGAAAAATTTGGCCAAATAAGTGACGAAAATGAGCCAATACGATGAGCAGCAACGGTACCGCCTGTTGGACCTTATGAGGATGCATAAAGTATACACAAGAATAAAGTACACACAAGAAGACTGGTGGATTGTTCCAATAGGTGTCAAACAGTGGGCTTATTTGTCTTGACCTTTGGAAGTAGAGCTTTTTCTATAGATTTTCCAGGGAATTTGGCGCCCGGAGGCTTACTCGCCTCAAGGATGGAATATTTTCTCGGATTCCCTGCACGATCTACCTCCGCACTACGAACAACAACGATACGAAGCTCGCTTTACGCAATTGTCCACACGTAAACAAATGTGGCTATGTGTGACACCAGATTTCTCGCTTGGTGACCGTCCCTTGCTCTCTGCCCTGAATCATTGAAATCTAGAGTCGGCATGTACTTCCATACTTCCGTCAGCAAGTATTTTGGACGGAGACCACCGTCCGTCCAAATCCCCTTTGCACTCCACTTCTCTTGCTTGCACTAAGACGAGCCCTAGATCATGCAAGAAACTGCTACAATTTCCATGTCTTAATAATTTTCAGTAATCTTCTACTATGCCTTGCAACTTGGGACTCATCAACAGAAGTTTGTGAGTTGGAGTTCGAATCCAAGCTAATCCCCTTACCGGAATAACAAGCAGCCTCTGTGGCCATAGAGTAAATTATTTTCCCTGATACTCCTTGGATGAGCAACTCTCGCAAGACAGAAGCAAGATCAAACAACTCTTGAGCCCCAACAACGATGAGTGGCCACATGTGTTCCCTCCAGCAAGGAGAATGTATAAGCCACAGTAGAGAAACGTGTTCGAATGAACAGGTTCCGATTGTACCATACATCATACGTGACAAACTTGGGAAGTGTGTGATAGTGTTGGACAAAACTTGGGTGTATCTTTTTGGAATGAGGAGAGAGTACAATCTCCCATATCATTCATGGATCTGAGTACAGCCTCGGACTGTAAATTTTCAAGAATGCTTCCGAGGAAGAATCTTTCTGCAACGACTAGTGGATAGGTACTTCTTGACCTTCGACGTCACTCAGCGATGCACTTTAACCATCATCTCTGAGAATTGAATCAATTGACTTGGTCCAAGGATGTAAACTCCTGTTTCCAGAAACATATACAAGAGGCTTTCAATTGACCTCCGGAGATGAGGCCTTGTCCAGCCCGGCCCAGCCCAGCCCACCAAGTGCAAGCTTGTTCCAGGTGGGTCCAACAGGTTAGCACTTACCAGATCTCCACTTCCGGTCCTCCCGGCTCTCCCTCGGTAATAAAATAAGACCCTCCTCGCAGCCTCTCGTAATGGCCTTCTTATTCCCAATCATTGCCAGGTGTGCTGCACTCGCTTCAGAATATGCGTGAATATGTTCTTTCAATCTCCACATCCATCCTGCCACTATTATCTGCTTCAAAACTTCGGTGGACAAGTTCTTGTACTGGCCGACCGCAAGAACAAGGGCTAGGTTCTTCATACTTGCAGCAAAAACCTGCAGTGTTCATATGGGAAGGAGAGACCCCACCAACGAAACCAGTGAAAGTCCATTAGGCACATGTCTTCACAGTCAGATATGGATTATTTCGTGGTAAGACTCCACCGAGAAATGGTGTGTCACCCAAAGTCGATTTGTTTCTTGTACTCGCACCTCTCAAGGAATGACAAGAAAGCTGAGACAACCTCTTGCCAGAACGAGACTGGCCTTTGACTGTTGCTGCTGATTGCGCTGGACAAAACAACAATCCTACCTTTATCTGACACATGTAGACGATGCTCAGGGCCACGTTCTCCTCCATTTCCACCAAATTTGCTCTGAATTTCGAACTCAAAACATTCTCATGCCTTGCAAGATAACGAGAAAAAGACCGGTCCCCAACTGTTGTGGATGCAAAAGTATGCGGAACGCGTATGTCACACATTTCTTGACTGAGAGACTCACAACTTCTTCATTACTCTGGCATTCGACAATGCATGTGGGAGTTTGCTCGAGGGATGCAGATGATGATGCAGCGTGTGTCTTGCAGATTTGATCCACATTTATTTCCCGATGAGAAGAAGATTTTTTTAATGGGCTGATCGTGATTGCAATAATTAGCTTTTGATCCACGCTTTGTTACGCAACATTATCTTGCGCTGTTTTCTTATCATTCCACTGACCCTAAGTCACATGGCTTACATTATAAGATAAGGATTCTTGGTGTTATCAGCGAGCGTCACGGAAACGAAAAAGATAATAATATCAGCTTCTATGAACGATACATAGTTGTACCAAAATTTTCATTCAGAGTTTTTTATCCCCTAGTTGAACCTACCAGATCATGATTTGCACCACTTAAAAGTCTTGTATACGAAAAGAATTAATTAGAAGAGAAACCTCGTTGGATATTGTTGATGGATCGAGAGTCAGACCACGGACCTGACATCGCTTTTGGTCTTTAACGAATTCCTCGTATTTGACGTCATCACATCCCCACCGTAGGTATGAAGCTCTCATGTCTCAAGTGTGATTCACGAAACGTTTTCTCAGCCCATCATCCAGTGGGTAGATCGTGTATCATCAGCCAATATTGTGCAGCATTTGGAGATGACTCCTTTTACATTCTATGTACACCTTTGAAGTGAATAGTGAACATTCTCTTGTGCAATTCTACATATATCTATTAGAGCGTGCATTCATTCACATTCCTTTCAAAACCTATGGTAAATGAAGCTAAGTTTATCCGCATCTGAACCAAAATTATCGTCATACCCTACTTGATTTTCCAATTAAACTTTATAAACTTCAGGGTTGGGAGTGATCCCATATCCCTGCCCACCTGAATATCTTTTCAGTCAAGGTTTCATTGTCAATTAGATAGACTTTATGTAGTTGTAGCCATACTACTATAAAAAATATATATAAGTTCAGTAGATCAATTGCTCTTCACGAGGTATGATTGTGTTGCGTTAATGCTCTTGTAAATATCCAATATTTCTAACCACTTTCACCATCATTTTTCTCTGATGTTTGGCATATCATATAGTTTCAGGTGTATTCATCAATAGTGAAACTTATGAATTGATTGATCTTTGGAAAAACTACTTCATTTTGTATTGTTACTTTTTTTCTTCAATTAAAATTATTTTCCACAATAAAAGGTGTTTATTCTACCTTATCAAGGTCGTTTTGGACAAAGATTCTTTCAAAAAAATTAAATTTTTAATATTAAATCATAGATTATTTTTTCTCAACTTTTTTGGACTAAAATGTGAACCTGATTTTCATAGGATTTTCCGTCATGAGGGTTGTAGAGTATAATAAAAATGTATTCCAATCCTTGACTAACTAATGTCATCTTATAGAATTATGGAATTACAATGTCAATGCACAAGTTTACTTGTGCATTACTTCAGAAATCCAAATTTCATAACGTATTTGATATATATATATATATATATAGAGTGTTCAGAATTGAATCAATCATTCCTATAGTGATGTTATTAAATCCTTGTACCAGACTAATCCTTGTTATCATTTCACTATACCATGAAAACTTTATATTTAATTCTTGCTATATTTCCTATACTCTCTCTATCTTTCACTTCAAGATTTTTCTTGCTGACTAAGACATATAAGCAGTCAAGTGTGTATATGTATCAAAACTCCAACGGGCTTGTAACAATGTGTACAATATAATCCAACCTCAGGTTAGATTAGGACTACAAATTTGACCTATCGATTTTCGAACAGCGCATGACCGTGTTGATGAATATTCGTCCTTACAACCCTCAAAGAAGATACAAGCACTTGAGAATCTCCTGCCGTAATACGAAATATCTTCTGTATGATGTTATGTGGAGAGAATAGAGAGATTCATGATAAGATGTGAAGCATTGTATAAGGTACGTACAAAAACTATAAGGTGAATTGTACTTAAACTTCTTTTGATAAGCAAGCAAGGCCGGCACTTCAATTATAGGCATCCTCGTTTTATGATCTATATACATTTAACAATATATATACATATTCAAAATAAAGGCACATGTCAGGGTAACATTGTTTTACATTATGAAAGCGGAAACTTTATTCAATGAAAAGACATTCTATGTCAAATAACCATCTTTAGTAGAAAAAAGGGCCTTCACGACAGCATTCATGGTGTGAAATATATTGTCTATAGCAAAAATTCTCTCCTCTGAATACTTAATAACTGTAAACTTTGTTCTTATCTTTGTGAATATTCTAAGAGAGATGGATAGAAATTCTTAATATATCAAGAGACATAAATTATTGCACAGTGGATACTACATGAACTATCTATACGTATTTGTCTCTCCATGAGAGTCAGAAACAAATAAACCATATTAATTTTGCATAGTAGTTAACGAACAGTCCTATGTGTGCAGGTAGGGTGGAAGGCGGAGGTTGTAACTGTGTAACGTAGACATGGAAAAAAATTATATATAAAATACCAACCAGTTTCAGCATCATCATATGTTTGTCTTTCTAAATAAGTATTCGTCAACTTTTATATTAGTCACATGTAAACCTGCAAAAGTTTTTATAGCAAGAAGCAAATGAAGCAATCATTAATATAATCATGCTGAATGAAACATAAACAGAGAAAACGACATTTTCACAATCAATCAAATTAGATTGGCACGCACTTTCAATATATCTAGCAAAAGAGAAAAAAATATAGCCAAGTGTGAGCGCCAGTATTGAAAAAAGGAAAGAATATAATCAAATTAAAATTTCTACCCCTTAAAACAATAAAAAAGGCTCTTTTCAGTATACCGAGTAATTCTCCTTCACAGAACATGATATACAATGTTTTTTTACTCGAGTGTTTTAATTCAGAAATTCTATTTCATGTCATTCATAGAGGATTCCTTACTCAATTTAACATTTACGTTTTGTCAATTACTAAAGCTTGAGAGAGGCCTATGAGAGATATGCATCAAAGACATAGATACTTGAGGTGTATTTATGTAACATAGGTTACTCATATTATCCTATGGTAGAACAATGAGCACAACTATATATATTCTTGTTGATACATAGCCTCAATCGTGTAATAGTACTATGTTGCAGCGTGGATTTGACTTAATTAGTATATCGTGGTTGAGTTTTCATGTTTAGTTGATGATGTTAACGTTTAATTATTTATAAACTTACAACTTGATCTCATGAGTTTCACGCACGTAGTAGATAAAGTGCCTTCCTATTACTCTTTGACTTCGGAGTTCCAGTTTGCTTGTCACTAGTAGTTTTGTGTTTTTTCTTGATTTGATGTTAGCTTCTTCTTATTCTTTTCATTCCATGACTGCTTTTTCTCATACATGAAATATTTTGACAATATAGCTAAGAGTACTTTCTCGGATACTGTAATTTGTATCATCACATTTTATATATTGTTCAGTCAATACCATGAACAGCGTCTACATTTAAAAGTATCCATCCAAGAGATATTTGTTTAATTTAATTTCATGAAACCTGGAGTATACGTAGTAATATAATCGAAGAAAAAATAAATTTATAATATAAATTCTATCTGGGAGTTCTCCCGGCGAACTTATACATGAAAGTCTAGTGGTATAGACATATAGCTCTTTGTGACCTAGAAGATAATTTCCAACTATAAGGATTCCATCTCAGCATTTTCACATCCATGTAGTAGTTAAAAATGTGAAAGCACAATGCATTTTGAGCATAGATACTTTGAGTACATAAAACATAGAGAAAGTTTGTAGACATCGTTCCCCCTTCTAGTTTGTAAGGACATTTTAAAACTCATGATTTTTACACTATTCACCGTGATGACAGAGAGTTGATAAGTTAATTTACAAGAACATTCGAGCTTTGGACTAAATCATTACTATGGCGGTGATCACTATGTGGACGATTAGTGTATGTGTGCTTCCGACGCAAAAGGCCCCAACCTATTCAGAAGTCGTGAAATGAATGTGACTAACTGCCGGAAAACCAACCCAAAACGAGCACAGCATCACAAAGTTTTTGTAACTACATGTTGCGGGCTCTAGTGTGGGGGAATGACTATAATATTGTAGTATATTAGCGTGGTTATTGTGGTGGCTATAGTATGAGGGGAGGAATTATCTGGAAATTCCAACTTGGTTGCAAGTTTTGATGACGCAATATCATCATTCTGTAGATGCAGTGCAACTAATAGTGGATCACTGACACTGAAAATGTTGTGGATCTTACTAGATCTTTAACGAGAAGGAGCGCATAACCTTGTTCGTAGATTCTAGGTTTAGATCAGAATGATCAACTATTTAAATATTGCGTTGTGTATATCGAACGAGCGGAAGTACTTTTTGCAAGTTATAGTAACTGCCCCCTTCTACCTAGTGAGATATGAACGCTCGCCGCGCCTGGAAAGCATAGCAGAATCAGAGAAAGCAAAATTCAATTTTTCTCTCTTACAACATGGTTTTAGAGCGGGTGCTCCAATCTTCTGCCGTTGACAAATCTTGACTAATCATCTTGATTGTTTACATCTAATAGTAGTTGATTCTCTTTCATGCTAAATAGCGTAATCCGTTCTAGCTGTTATGAATAACGATCACTACAACTCTGCTTATCACTTGGGTTCCAAAGAAAAGTTTGCAGTCTACATCAACTACATGAACTTGTTTCTTTGACTTAAGATCATGCTTTGCGACAAAATGATCTATGAGACAACTGTACTTGATCCGGCTCCTCTTTGTGTTGCCAATGATGTAACTGTTTGCCGTCTCACCAAAGTAATTGCATGATACTGACTCGTGACTCTCTTGACATTTTTTACTCTATCGCTGAATTTGAAAATAATTATTTTGAATTGTGAGCGTATTTGCACACTATTTATCTATCTAACAATGCTCAGTGTCGGCTAATGCTTATTGAGAAATTGGCAACATTTAAGTTGTGTGCTATTGTCACAGTCAAATAATACCTTCAGATTATACAATGTCTCATGATCCAACTTGTTATTATTGGCCATCAACTTTCTAACAACGACTTGATTCATCACACAACCAATGCAATCATACAGTTTAATCATTGCAAACATCATCATCGTCGCTACTCT